AAGTATGAATATTTTTTAGGAAAAAAAATATTATAAATGAAATTGTAAATGCGATATGCCACCAAATAGATTTTTATGGAGGGACTGGTTTGCAATTAGAGACTAGATTTTTTCTTTGCCTTGAGACCATTCATTGGGAAGCAAGCACATGCTTTTCTGTTTTTTTATTTACATTTACACTTTTCTGAGAGAAAAAAAAATAAGGCAGATTAGATTTTTTTGATTGACTCATTGGCTCATTTTTTTTAAAAATCTGTAAAGGTACATTTATTTATTTTTTATCCCAAAAACATTGAGAAAGGAAGGGAGTCATGTGTGCGAGTTTGTGTCTTCGAGGTTCAGGCAGTAGCGTTAAGGTTTTATTTATTTATTTTTTTTTCTATCAAGGCCCACAGTAGTATTTGCAGTAGAATGTCAAAGCTGGCTGAATGTAACATGTCTTTGGGGAGAAAGTACACGCTTGAAGCACACAAGTATCATCGCTTAACTCAAACGACTACGTTACAAGTTTTCAACCCTCCCAGGCTATGTCTTCAGTGTGCATGTGATTTTTGTTTGTCGTGCTGAATGCTTCACTGGCGTGCATACTTGTGAGAATATTGTCAAATGCCCACCCGGTTCATGTGTGGGCAGTAACAAGAAAAGAAGCGTCATTAATGGCACAAGCAGCCGTCATTCGGAGATAAAGAGAACCTGTGTTACTTTTCTTCCTGCTCTGGCCAAGGACGGCGACCACTGAACAATTTGAAACTATGTGGTTATAGTAAGTATACTTCTATGTGAGATAAAATATTGCTATTGTGGGCTGTGATGAATGGAACGAGTTTCACAAATATCTGTAATGAGTACATTAAAGACATTTCCAAAATGGCCTTATAAAGAATTTTTAAAAAGATGTCTTCTCAGAATAAAAAGGTCAAAATGATGAAAAACTGGAAGCCTTGAGAATGTTAATTGTTCACACTTTTTATTTCGGTTTTCTTCATCTTTTTACTTTGGTTTTGAAATATGACACATCAGTAAACACGAGTTGCAAAATACAAACAGCAAAGGATTACATTCAGTGACGAGCTGGTTCTAAAAGTTGCCAAAAAACATTACAAATCATTACAAAAAAC